TAAGAAAGGAATATTCTGATGCTAAAAACTTACCCTGCAGGTGAAATGTGGAAGTTGTAAGAAAGAAACTTTTTAAATAAGGAAGGAGAAAAGGCAACAGTGACTGTATTTTTAAAATCTTTTTTGGTTTAAGTGTATACGTGTGGTTATTTTGACTTAAATCGTGTCAGGAAATAACCACAGAGTCGCCATCCTTCCAAGGCTCTGCTTTTGTTGGACGAAATTCACTGGAGCTGCAGAGCCAGCCAGTGCGTTCGTCTAGCTGCCAGAGACCAGCCCTGGAGTCGCCGAACTCCACTTCTCCTGCAGTTCTTCTTTCAGCTCCTCCAGCCTTTCCAGCCTGCTGTCGTTTCTTTGCCCGTTGCCCTGTGAACGTGATTTGGCTGGTTTGGCCTCAGGAGTTCCCTGGGAGCCAGCGCTGGCAAGGCAGGGACAAGGCAAGGCTGTCGAAGCAGCTGCGTGCCCGCCTTTTTGGGGTGACGTACCGCGCTGCGTTCCTGGCGCTCAGGGCGCCGGGCAGAGCTCGGCTCAGGCAGCGCGCCCAAGCCCGCTCACAGGACCTCACGTGGCTTCCGTCATCGACGCAGCTGGTTTCTCGTGGCTGCGTAGCAGCCCGCGGAGCAAAAAGTACTTCTTGAGGCAAGCAGGGCCAGTGTGGTTTTCTTACTCTTTATTTCTAGTATATGGGCAGGGAGAGGCAGAGGTCTGCTTTGTGTTGTGCATCCTGCAGCTGGTTTGTTCGTCTCCATCCCCTGAGGGACTGTCCCAGAGTTTCACTGAAGTGGTTTTAGAGTGGTTTCTCCATTAAACCCTTTTACTTCTCCCCTCCTTAGTGGTGGGTTGCTCCATCGTCGGGATGGACTTGAAATGAGCATCAACTCTATGTGTCTTTGGCAGAGAGGGAGCTTATTCTGCTGCTGTCTGTTTTTGTATCTTCACAGCCTCTTTTCTTGTTTTGTTTTTGTTTTAAAAAAAAAAAAAAAAGGCATTACTTCAGCCTGCTGCTAACGAGAAAAAGAGCTAGATGGGGTAGTGCTCCCAAGGTTGACCTTCTGCCCTGGACTGTGGCTGCGTTCCTGGGCATCGGGAGCCGATGAACTCAAATCGAGAAGCAGCGTCCTTTCTCCAGCTGTTTTCCACTTGACTGGGGAAGGCTGAGAAGCCTCAGAAGAAATGCAAGCAGCGTACTTCATCGCTTTCGGGAGCAAAAAAATGCAGCTCTCCTCTTGACCACTGGCGTTTGAAGATTAAAGTAGCCTGGGGGCTGTCTCGGGCAGCAAGCGTAGCAGGAAAATTAGTTCGTTCTGACTCAAAACGGAGTGATCTAATTTAGTGGGGCGCTGACAGGGCTGTCAGGCATTAACTTAGCGATCATCCTTCAGCGACTGGCCTGTGCGCGCTGTCTCAACCTTCACCCCCTTCCCTCCCTTTCTGTAAACCGATGCAATTTGTAGCCACTTAATCCACTCAGATACCCTGCGCCAAGGCAAGCGGAGTTCAGCGCGCGCTCAGCCAGCCACGGGTTTCCGAAGGCAAAGTGAGAGGGGTCACGTCCTGCCGCAGCCTTCGGCCTGCGGGGCTGGCGACGGCCCTCGGGCTGTGTACCTGCAGCGTGGCCACCAAGCTCCTGCCCCAGCAGCGCCTGGGGCCCCTTCCTGCAGCCCAGCACTGGCTGCAGGGGAGGAGGGCAGCAGCTCTTAATACGCATATGCTAAGAATCGAGGGCAAAGTTCCTGTGGGCAGGGAAGAAAAGTAACTGTAATTAAAAACGACTTCGTTCACACAAGGGGGCAGAAGAGAGACTGGATGGGAAGTCCTCCTACTGGCATTTCCTACCTCTGATTTCTTAATTGTGCAGCTTGGTCTCTTTTCTGTTAAGGTACTTTAGAATGTCATTTCTGAAGCTTCTTTACAGTAAAAGGATTTTGTAAAAAGGCCTTTTGATCCTCCTACCAAAATGAAAACACTATGTCGCTTTCCACAAACAACTGTAGCGTTACAAAGGGGTGGTTTGCTGCTTTGCTTTTGTTGGTTATAGAGCGATCTTTCCTGACTGAAAAACTAGAGTTGTTCCGGCCCATGAGAACATTTTAACATGATCCAGAAGAGTTCCCCAGAAGGCATAAAAAGCCAGTGAGGAAAAGGGATGATGTGGCCACCTAATGATACAATGACTAGAAAAATTGTGGCGTTTGAAAACTGCTGGTCATTTCATTTCAACAGTCAAATGAGTCAGACAGAGCCAGCTCCCCAAAACTGAGATGCTACTGGTTAAGTTTGTGAGCTCTGAAAAGAAAGTTATGTTTCATTTTTATTAAGAAAAGGAGAAAAAGTAAGAAGCAGGAGATCCATTAAAAAAAACAGAGTTTGAGACCATTCAACTTCTTGTCTCTGTGAAGACAGGCTCCTATGAAACTGGCAGCCTCCTAGCACTCTGTCAGCCAAATTGGCCACATCAGACTATCTGCGTGCCCTTGAGGCTGGAAGAGTAACATACTGTAATGCGATGCTCTAACAAAAGCACCTAATTGTGAAGAACAATCCATTTGCATCACGATAAGCAGCTAGTAATGTTTCCCCTTCACAGCCACTTACAGACACTGACTTTGGCTTCAAATTACTGCCGAGTGCTGTTTTCAGTGCTTTCCCGCTCACTACTGGACCTTCACGTAGCAGGTATTGCACTCGTTACCCTAACCTGTTTTCTGGTTAGTGTGAGTAACTAACAAAATCTTGCCTTGGCCTGTGATTCATCTTGAATAAACTATTTTCCAGTCACACAAGCAAAAGCCTTGCTGAAAGCGGAAAGATTTGATCTTTAGCACTGAAGCATTTGCTTGTGTGCTCCTAAAACTCAAGCTTTTTGTGCCGTGTTATGGGCATCAAGCGTACTGTCAGTAGCCGCAGCTGCTTCTGCTGTAAGGGCATATACAGGCATAATGGCTTGGCAACGGTCAAAAGCCTACTATGCACAGGAAATGAAATGTATGGAAATTAAAGGGACCGTGAGAAGCACGTGGTGTGTGGGATTCCCACGTGGGTGTCTGGCACAACAGAAAATTTGAAGATGATGGGAAAAATCAAAGGGATGAAAGAGCCCAAATCCTTCAAACAGACAACAAGTACATCTCAAATCACCACATGGCTCCAGTCTCCTATGGTGAGAAAAACCTCTCCAAAACTGAAGAGGAATGTGACATACAAGACAGTCTTTGTAAAGCAAATAGCTAGTCACAGGTACACGTGGAAGATTACACACTGGTGTTAGAGATTAACAAATCGCACGGGTTCCTGAACCACTGAGTCTGGCACAGAAACGAAAGTAGAAGAGGTGATATGCACAGTAAAGGAAGAAGATGTGATATTGTTTAACAAACATGCAGGGTTTGCGTTTATTGGCCGTAGAAGAAAGAAGAGACATTTTGAAGGATATGATCGAGGAGGAGGATATTGGAAATCTGAGGATTCAAATGAGAAGGGATGTCCAAGACTTCAGGCTTTAGCAAACCTGACAGCTCCTACTGTGAAAGTTCAAGATACTTGTGGAGATAGCGCAGGCTGCCTCCTCGGTGGCAGTCTCCTGGGGGAGACATGTGGAAGGGCCTGGCCGTCAACTTGTGCTGCGCCCAAGCCGTGCTGGGCAGGAACTCGCATGCAGGGCGCCGGAGCTGCACCGCGCTTGACTGACCCCTTGCACTGTGTGACGCTTGCCGTTCAGATACGGCGATTGCAGTTCAGGTGTTCATCTGACACTGAAATCCAAACGAGGGGAATAGGAGGATGAAAAGTTAAATTACTGTTCGGCAGGGTGATACCTGCATTTGAATAATGACCTGTCTGCAAGGTGGAAAACCCTGTTCGTCTCTCTCTGCCTTCCACGAGGGCCAGTTCCCCTGTTCTGAGCAGCAACAGAGGGAGGATGCTCTTTGCATCATCCCACAAACAGCATATACACCCCAAAGGCAGGGCCAGGGAGGGCCATGCTGTCCTCACATGTTATGCATTGCCTGAGACCAGCTGCAATAAATTAGGATCACTCTGTTTGTTATATATGCTAATCTGCATTTGCAGAGCTGCTCTTGGAGCTTTACTTGCCTGCTTCTCTACAGACTCTCTCTTCTGTCCCTTACAGTGGTGGATAAAAGCTATTTAGTGGTATTTCATCTCCACAGTATGTAATTCATGTCCCTACAGTGCTTTAATATAATGGTGATGTCCAGTTTAACACAGTGCTGGGGCCTCTCCTGTCCTACTAGTTCTCTTTATTATTTTCAATTTCATGTTTAGGATGTTTCTGTGTTTCTCCTTTTTTTTTTGGGGGGGGGGGGTCAGGCAATTGAATTGATACTTGTTCCAGGTGTTCCAAGACTTCTTTTCCAGTATCGTGTTCTGGGAGCTATCAGTATGATTTAAATATAGAAATTACAGAAGCGTTAGGGGAAGGAAAACAAATTATACTAACATTTACTTTAGAAAGTAATACTTTCCTCTGAACAGCCTCAGGCCCAAAGCATTTATACAAGATTTAATTTACTTTATCTATTTAATAATTTTAAAAGGAGATTACAAAAAGTATATTATAACTCTAAGGAATATAGATATATTGAAATAGATACATTTATTATTTCTAAAGATATATATATATTTGCAGTTTAAACGAGGAACTTTGACCCTGTTTTATGCTAGCTTTTGCTATGCATTTGCCATCTCACCTTACATTTGTGTGAGAAGATGTGATTTTTTTTTTTTTTGGCACATTGCAATCAGAGCGCTCGATCATGTTGTGTTATGTGACACTGACGGATGGCACCCAGGGTGGGGACGCAGTGCCGTCGGCGCAAGACCCCGCTGCGGACTGTGCCCCAGACTGCTGCCGGGCCGGCTGCCGTGGCCCCCGCCAGCGCACCCCGCTGCCCAGGCCGCCGTACAAGGGGCAATTAGGGGGTCTTCAGGATGGGGGGCCAACGTGCCGAGAGTTGGGAAGGTAGGTGGAGAAGCGTCCAGCTTGGAGGTCGTGTGCATATGATGAGGGGAGGGGTGCCCGGCAGTGACGCGGCACCGTCAGGAAGCATGGCGCGTGTTGGCGTGACTCGGAATGGAGGGTTTGGGCCTGGTCAGCGAACTCGGATAAAACTTCCAATTTGGAAATAACCAAAATTTGTACTTGGGTTAAAACGTCAAAGCAGATTGTTGCCACCCTTCCAGAGCTCTATTTTTGTCATTTCCTCTCCAAGATAGAAAGAATCTTTTTATCCGGTTTGGGAGTAAAGTAAGTGTTGAATGATCCTGATTTTATTTCGAGGTGGAAATATGGATTTATTTTTCATTTAAACGTTTCTTCAGTAGTCCCTAAAAAATAAACCTCATCTCCTCAGCATGAAAAAAGATTTTATGTTAAGACAACCCCAGTCACAGTTTAAGATTCCTTGCTAATGTAAACATGCTTAATTAAAGGAATGAATTTGTTGAAGACCACATCTTTGAAGACTCCATCCTGCATGGAGCATCCCTGAAAACATCTTTAGGTAACAAAGTAATCTCCAACTAGCACAAAGTTCCTCAAGGTGCCCAGAGCAGTCCCTGCAAATGGCTGAGCACTTGCAGACCCTGTTGACTATGGTAGGAACTGAGGACTTTCTCACACCCAAAAAATTGGGTGCTGAGGGGAAAATTTTCAAGTGATCTTTATTCATTCATAATTGTACTGAGAATTTCAAGAGCTCTGGTACAACCTTGGTGCCAGAAGAAGTGGACGGATTTTCAGGAGGACTCGGCTAAGTAAGTGTCTTCTGGGTAGAAAAAAGAATTCAACTTAAAAGTAAAGCTGTCCTCAAAATCTGACCTCCATGTGTTCTAATGCTTCCCATATGACTTCGCTGCAGGCTTTGTGCTCCCTTGTTGTAGGCGAACATAATGGAAAAGGGGCTTTTCATGATGACAACAGATCTTTCTTCCTCTCCCGCTTGTCTTGATTTTGTCTTCACCTTAATTGCTTTCTCACTCTGTGGAGTTGTTTAATCACGGCTTCAAATCATCTTACGAAGTGTTACAAAGTGATCAACCTAAGGACTCGCGTGTTGAAGGTTTAGTGGTTTTCCATCAATCTTGATTTGTCCTCACAGCTCATTTGTGTCCTAGGCTGATAGCCTGCATACCTTCTGGCTGACTTTTCCCTCTCTTCTTTTGAGCATGTGTTTTGAACTTCAAACTGTGCCCTGGTTGGGGGGGAGGGGGGAGGGGGATTGGGTTTTTTGGCATTTTGCCATATTTAACAGCCACATGGGTTGCATTTCTGAGGATTAGACATACAGGAAAAGAAATTAAGAGTTAAGTCTGAGGCAGCAGTTACTGGGAAAGGTCAGAAGTTCTGGTTCCCCCAAAGCTGAGCAAAATCGCAGGCATCGAGAGGATACCAGCTCTGAGGTCTGATGCCATCTTTCTGTCTTACCCACTCTCAACCTTCAGCACAAGTTGTAGCCCATTTTCAGCCATCATGGAACACGATCCTTGTTTAAATTTTGTATTTTTACGTTTGCTTTTTTTTTCTTTTTGCATACTGTCAAAGTTTAGTCATTGCTTGCCATGGCGTCGGTATCCATGATCGATGACAACAGGCATGATGAGAAAACGACCGGCTGTCCTTCCATGTCCAAGAGCAAGTGACCGGCTAGGAGCACCCCAGGGTGCTGGCGGGTCGGACAGTGGGGAATCACGGCTGCCAGGAGCGGTATGCAGTGTAGTCTCGCGTGGGCGCGTAGGATGGGTAACCCTTGTTCTTTTGGTAAGGTGGGTGCCGGGGAGTCATGTTCATGTAGTCGCTCTGATGATACATTTTCTCCTTGCTTTTTTGCTGTGGGAGAAAAGTGAAGGAAAGTGTCAAAATATTTCTGCAATTAGTCTGTCCTGCCTGGAGAGAAGATTTGAAAAAGGAAAAGAAGAAAGGGGATGGGGGAATCCTTTGCACAGAGAGCTTTTGAGTGTTAATAAGATCTGAGAAAAAATTAATAATGGATTTGATAATTTTTTCCTTCTTTTGAATTAATAAGTGGTCCCACCAACCATCAGCTCTATTCACTGCTGAGGCTTTAGCCCTGGATCCCGGCTCAGGGGAGCAGGCCTCAGGCCTGAATGCATTCACAGAATTAAAACACATGTTCTCCTAAAATAATCTATGCATTTGCCCAGCCTGAGCACAAGGCTCCAGCTTATCTGCTGAGAGGTTTATAGCATTAGCTGTACAGGTAAATGAACGCTGCAAACCAAGGATACAGACTATTTTATCTCGCCCCCAGTTCTCAGCTGTGGAATGACTCAGCAAAAGCCAAACAGTCTGAGCCGTGAACAAAGAAATTCACTTAAACAGAATAAAATCAGCTCAGGCTGCATATGTCACCGTTTACCTACCACTTGTGGCAGGAATATGCAACGTATATGCTGTTAGGAGCACCCCTTCAAGAGGCAAAAGAAGCAGAGCTGATGTTAATCTTTTATCTGTCTCATTATCTGGGCTGCAAAAAACTCATTTCCACTGTTGAACTGCTGCCTTATAGCGGCCCTGTGAGACAGAAAGGCATCATCTCTTCTGCAAATAAGAGCAGCAGAAGCAGAAGGCAGGTGAAGTCATTTGCCTGCAATCAGAGGGAGCCTGTGGCTATGGCAGCATTTGAAGGCGTGACTCCAGCAGGCTATGCGCAAGGTTAGTGCTTTGGCATGGCTTAAGTGCTCCTTTGTCAGGGACTAAGTGAAGTGTTTCCATTTTCTTTCTCAATGCTGATTATACCTTTTTTTCCTTATCTCTTTTCTTTACTGAAATTTTCTTCCTATATACATATATACATACATATGTGTTTATGCACAAGTATATGCATCCACTGGTGGGTGGGTGTGGGTGTCTATGTTGTGGAATTGGTCTGTGTTAGACAATTTGATGGCTGAATCATGTTGTGCCTGCAGAGTGAGGCAGTTAGTTACTGTGAGATTATTTAAGCATTTTGATATATAATATTTTATTTATATATATATATATACACACACACACAAGGTGTTGAGTGTAAATTGCATGCAGCTTAAGTTATAAAATGCAGTTGGTGCATGTAAGTCATTAAATACAAGAGTTCTAGTTGTGTGTGCTCATCTCCAGAATACAGAATTTTTAATTCACCTAATAAAATCAAAGAGTTAATTTTGCATGAGAGAAATACATCTTACTAGCATGAGTGAATGCTAGGCTGTTCCAGGATGAAAGACTGCTACTTCTGGAAAGGAAAGCGTTTTTCCTCCAGGGAAGGCAGAACTGTAAGAAATTAGACAAATCTGCAGCTGCTTTCAGGAACTTAAGTGAAACAGGCTTGCCATGGCTGTCAAGTATCGTTTTTAGGCCCATTTTTTTAACATCTGTAATCTCTTCTAGGCAGCTTTATTTACATTCAACAGCACTCCAAGTGCATCCGCACTCAGAGTATGCGTTATCAGGAGAATACCAGCAGCAGTAATAATAGCAGGTAAAAATTGATGCAGCAAACACCATGCATCAGAGTGTAGCCTTGTCAGTCTTGCTAGGAGCAGACATCTTAGCAGCACAGTGCGTGGCCATTAGGGACCAAATGCACAGAGCGGAGAGAAATGGTTCAGCTTCTGAGTGATGGATTTGCAACTACAGTATCTCGTCGGGCAACAGAGCCACTGTAGCACAGCACTGTGACGCCAGCAGCCATCACCTGTAATCCTCTTAGCTCTACTGTGAGGCCTTCTCTGCAGAAAGGCACAAAGAAGAACCACCTAGCCTGGCTTTGTATTTGCATTTGCAATGCCTGATCCAGCCTGTTTTTCAGTAGGAAGAGGCATGTATTGAACAAGTGTATTTTGATGAAATAGATATCAGCCGAAACTTCGGCCAGCAGGAAAAGTGGTTTTCTGTATCCATGCGGTACTTAACCTGTTAGGGACTTTGGGCCCTTTAGACAAGCTACCTTGCAATGTATTGAAAATAGATATCTAACCTCAGGGGGAGATACAGGGGAAAGACAGAGTGCAAGGAACAGAGTTCTTCTCTACGCTCATCATTCCAGTCTTTCTCACGTGGGGAAAATAGCGTAAAATAAGCTCTGGGAGATTATGATCCTAAGACTCATTCAGCAAATGTGGCCTTCTGCTGCCTCTGCATCACCTGATACTCTTGTGGTAGTGCAGTAGGCCTGGGGGTTGGACCAGGCAAAACTGAATGGGACCTGAGCCAACCAGGTCTCCAGAGAAATTAGAAAGCAAAAATAATGAGCCTTAAGAATGTCTCTGCCTTCTCAGTGTTAATATACAGGGGCAAAGGAGAGACTAGTGAGATCCTGGTGCCCCTATTCTCTTGCAGGCAAGCTGCGGGGAATAGTGAATACTTGAGGAAATTGCTGGAAAGGCACAAGACACCAGTGTGGATGGTCTTGGACCAGTTCCTGGTCCCTAAAGATCGCTTTACTGCAGGTGAACCTCTTTTGTCAGAATAGTCCCACAGGGTTTTGCCAGGGATGCTGTAGGCTTCCCTGACACGGACAATTACAAGAGCTGGAGACGGCGTCCTGATATTGCTGGTGTGCCTGATATTGCTGGATGCTGGTGTGGAGGCCTGACTGCCCACCTGGAGAGCATCTGGGCTTTCAGCTCATCTTGGGCATAGCATGGGTGTGCGTGTGTAGCCAGGGTGAAGAAGCACTGCTGTCCTGAAAGTGAGGGATATCAGTGAACTGTGGTAGATGCAGCAAATGTAGCCTAAGACACATACTAGGGCCAAAGAGCATACGGAGCAAAGGAAAATAGTGATTTCTTACCCAGTAGTTAATAAAGACCGCAGTTATTAGCGTACTGTAGAAAGCAAGAACTCCAGTCACTGCCACCATAATCCAGTAAGAGCTTGTAGACTGAGACTCTTGCATTTGGGTGGGTATGTCTTTAAGGAAGAAAACAAAAACAACTTAAAGCCCACAAAAGCAACAACCTTGACCTCTCCTTATTTACCCCTTGCTCTAACACACCCTGTGTGTCAACCATATCATGCACCATTTTGAGATGTCTTCTCCAGGGATTGGGAATTTAGTCCTAACAGGCAACCCATCTATTTTGTTCCTGGGAGGGAAATGTATTGCCCCAAGCCTTTGTGTGGGGAATGTGTGTAGGCCTACAGAGATTTCCCAGCTTACCTTTCACGTGAATGACGGTCCCGTTGCTCTTCTCATTGTAGACATATGGTGGTGGATACATGGCCTCGATTTTGCAGAAGTAAATGTCGGTTTGGCTGGCAGTCATATTCCAAAGACTGAAGATTACTTTGTCTTTATCATGAATCCCTTTGCAGTTGAATTCTTTATTTGAATTACTGCTAATTTTGGTCATGTTCCATGAAACAAAGCAGACTTCAACTGCACTGTCTGTTCCTTTGTGCAGCGAAGCTCGGAATTCCTTCCCTGTCCCATTGTATGTGTAGTTGCAGACCAGAGTCGCTGTTTTGTTAGCCACAGTGAGCAAAGGATGCTGAGCCACTAAAATCTTGTTTTCTGGAAGGGGGGGGGGAAGGCGAGAAAAAACAGTTGTTTATAAAATACAGTATGAGACTTCAGAACCACACATCCTCCTGTGCAACTCTTCTCCATGTCTCCCCAGCTGACACTCCCTCCTTGGGAGTACTTAACCACTGAGCTGCAGAAGCAGCTGCTCACAGGAGTTCTTGTTGCAGCAAGTAGCCTTTATATAAATAATTACATAGTCACTAGGTGAGCCTGTGAGATCAAGGGTGTTTTTCTTCAGAGTCAGAACACTAGTACAGAAAGAGGCCCATGTGCCGGGGATTTAACACTGAGATTCAGAAGGCTACTCTGGGTGTGTGTACGCACGCACCCACACACATATATGTAAAATACATGTATGTATGTATGGCTACCTTAGTCTATCCTTTTCTTAGTAGCTAGGTTCCCAGGGGATATAATGGAGTGGAAATACAATGAATTTAATGCTTAGTTTATCTGTCAGAAAGAAGAATATTATTTATATCCTTGCTTTTTAATCCAAGGATAGACTTGAAGTGGTTCAGCAAATTCCACCTGCAAACTCTTCAAGGATTTGGACCTTGGGACCTTGGGATTTGGACTAAAAGCATAAACTGCTATCACTTTAATAAAAAGTAATTTCTCTAGTTAGCAGCTGAAGTAGATTCTTAATCTCCCAAAGGACCCAGGAGATGACTAATTTGTTGCTGCACTGGCACTTAGCGCTTCAATGGCCTGCAAAAAAAACATATCACATGAAGGCATAATTCGGTTTGGATTGACCAGTCAGATACATAAACAGGAAATGTTTTCTGACATATAGAGCTCGGCTACCATCTGCCAAACAATGAAACATCACAAGGACTATGCAGAAAGACAGCTGCTTCCAAGAAAAATCATCCTATACAACTGAGGCCCCACTCTTCAAATGGTGACCTGTAAGAGAAAGGCAGTTTTGGATCTTAAGCTATGAACTTGCTTAGAAGGACAGCCCTTTTGTGTGTGTGCGTAAAACCACATAAATCTTTCATGAAAGCTCAACTCATTTATCAGCCACAGCTCTTGTATGAGATCTCAGTAGCCTTTGGTAGGTCCCTGGGAATTGCTATGGCTGAGAGAATGGCAGTTGGCATCTCTACCTCAAAACCTGCTGCAAAACCCCTATCCCTTCAACTTAATCTGTGTGAAGGAGCCTCTGAAAAGGCTGTTGAGGGAAATGGCAGGGGGAAGAGGCCAGATCTAGAATTCCCAGAAAATAAATGATTAACAATATGTAGGACTAAGTGGCTGTCTGTGAGCAAAGTATGTGTTCACACATGCACACGAAGAGGAAGTACTCCCACCTCTTGAGTAGGACACTCCTTTGGGATGAAGGTGACCCAAGTTTAGTTCCATGTTCTGCTTGACTTAAGGTTAGGGCTGAAGCCTGTCTCCCACGTTACAGGTGAGAGACTTGGCTTCTAGGTGGCTGCAGGACCATAGGACTGGAAGAGACCACTTGAGTCATCTGGCCCAGTGTGCTGCTTTTGGAAATGGACACATACAACGTAAGACACAGAAAGCAAACACATTCATACAATTGACACATCACGTACATAGATGCAGAAAACATCTGCTTCAAATGTCACAAAATGCATCCAAAGATGCTATGAAGCTATTCTTTTGTTGTTGTTGCAACTGTTTCATGTTGTACGACATTGATTATGAGAGTTGAGGGTGAAGACAGTGAACATACATGGTGGTCATAGCGGTAGCCTGGGATGTGGGAGATGCAGGTGTAATCCCTGCTCCGAATCAAAACAGCAGATGGGTATGAGTGTGGCTCTTCCACATCCGGAGTGAAAGCCTTGACTCCATCTGGCTGTCCTGGGCTTTTGCTCCCATTCTTCTATCTATCTGAAATGCTATTCTGGGTGTTCAACTTTTCCTGGTCAAGGTTTGCTGCTGGTTTTGCTGAAGTGGCACCCCCCCCCCAGCCAGCTCCCACTCTCCCACCACTGCGTAGCTGAAAAATTCCTGGCAGCTCTAGCTACCTGTAAGCTGGTGAGAGGGTCTATAAGACTGTTACTCCTCAGCTCTCCAAGGCTTGAGAGAAGAACAAACCAGGTTTCTTTCAAGGGCCGCTGCTGGCTTAGCAGGAATTTTGGAAGCTGACCCAGCAGCCCCCTGCTAGGTATACCCTGGCATAGCAACAACTGTAAGACATGAAATGAAAAACACTGGGAGAGGGAGTGAAGAAAACACGAAGAGGTGCCTGAGTTGGCCAGGACTATTGCTAGGGTGTGGACACTAAAAACAGCCTGTGGCCAGCAGGTTCTCCGATTACCAGCCCAACCCATGAAACCACTGCAATTGTTCATTTTCTCACTCAAAGTCTTGTTTACCGACACTGCCTTCTTGGGAGAGCAGGTAGGCATGAGAGGGGGAACGCTCTGCTGCCTCGTCACAGCATAACTTGTCACACGCTGAATTCTCATGCCTTCAGGGAACCCAAATGTTGTGAAAGTTTTTGTTTTGATGCAGAGCGAGCATTTGCTGGCTTTTCCACTGCAAGAGCCACAGATCTTGGAATCCCAGAACTGGGTGACGGAGTTACAATAGGCAAGGCGGGTTTCTACTGGAGCTGCCTGCCTGTGGTGAATTTTCATCGAAATGAAAGACCTTTCAGCATAACACTTGAGTTTCATCGGATCAGCATTTTCCGACAAAGCCTCTTGCATAGGCTTATAAGGCATTTTAGCAAGGGGTGAGGTGGTTTGAATTCCACCCCATTAAAGACCTGGTAATTGATCGTATTTTTATTGGCCAGAAAATCAATCTTTGGTCTAAGTGGGAGCTTGCAAGTCTCCTGTGGAATTGTTCTATATTTAGCATAGCGCAATTCTCACATCTCCATTCAGAGTTATTCTTCAGATTGCCACAGCAGTAGTGCCAAACACTTACAGCCCTTATTGTCATAGAGACTAAACAATACACATTCAGAAGAGACCTTTTCTCACAGAGTTTACAACCAAAATAGGTATTCAAAACAGATGCTTACAGAAGCATTAGCACTTCAGAAAAATGCTTGCCACAATACCTGTTTTTCATTGCAAGTACTTAAAAAAAGCAAGTGAACACTTATTGCTCAGCCTGCTCAGATTTTTACTATAGTCAGAGGAGAGGTAACTGCAGATCTCATCTGAGAGACCACCTTCAAATATTCTTAAGACTTACACAGAGGCCAGTGACTTTGCCCACCTTTTGCTGTTGTGGGCTAATCTGGAGTTCTGTAATCTGGATGACATAGCTTCATGCCTCAAGCTCTACTATTTAACTACAGCTTTGGACCATTTTTGTCCCTGCCATGATATTGTGCTGATAATTGGAGACCAGACTCTTCTAATGCACCTATCTAAAAAAAATAACTCCTTCAACTTACTTCTGTCACTTGGATTTATGGCCCAGTCTGTTTGCCTTGCTGGATGTTGATAAATTGGCCCCACGCTTTTGATGCTGGGATGTAGGATGACTTCAAACGGTGGGAAAAGTTCATTTGTGGAACGCTAAATGAAGACTTTTCCTACATGGTTGGTTGAAGTTAAGCATCCAAATCCACTTTCACAAAGTGGTTCTACCATGTCAAATCTAAACTGACTGAGGGAGGTCTTTTGCCTTTCATTTGTAGAAGCGAATTACCACTCCATGCACGGCTTGACCTGCAGTGCCAGGAAGGGGAGGTCAGGCTTAGCCCACAAGGGTGCCAGTAAGGCCCTGCTGTCATCCTGCTCCTCTAGGCCTGGATTTCTGTGAACTGGAGAAAGTCAGTTGTGCCAAAGTGTCCATTAGTTTCAGGTGAAAATACAGTAAGGCCAAACATCCCTTACTTCCTTTGTGGTCTGAATAGGATCTGAGTATATTTGCAGTAGGATCTGAACGTAGAAGGCTTGCACCAGGCTGCGTTCTGAGAGGCTGGTGACCTTCTGGGCAAACGTGAGCTGAAGCTTTGTTTGCCTTCACCAAGATGGTTTTTCTCGTAAATGTCACTCTGGGTTGGTTAAAATGGTGAAACTCTGAAACATTTAGTATGTGTTTCCATTAGTGTATGTTTTCCCCTAAATAGGGTTGCGATTGCTGTTTCCCGAGCTATGTTCAGTCATGCTGCGTAATAATAAATGTCTATATGGAGGTACTTGGCCTTAACCAGCCAAGAAAAGGGTAGTTATGAAAAATTGTCTACAGTTTCCAAGAGCTCTAAAGTCTAAAAATGTAAAATCATTGAAGTCAGTGTGCACATGTTGCAAGCTTTCTCAGGATCTTAAATTGTATAAGTAACGGGTGTGTGCTATCTCTAAATGCTTCTTAAGCTTTTTTTATATCTTATTTGTCATGTTAGACCTATCTTATAATCACATGTAAGGTTTTGGATCTTGAAAAAAATGCCATCCCCACATATTATCAGTAAAACACTAACTCTCTAATTATAGATCCTGATGCAAGCAAAACTCCATTGAATTTTTTTCTTTCTTTTTTGACAAGAAAGCAAAATAGAGACAACAAAGCATGGAAAATAACTATTTTGATTTTTTTTTCCAGAACTTTCCATGAATCATAATCAGCTATTGGAAAAAATATTCTGTAAAAACATATTTTGAACTACTTTTTTTCTTTTCCATGACAATTGACTTCAAGGAGTTATTTGCCAGAACAAGGAAGCTGGGAGAAGTTGAGGTCTCCATAAGCAGAGTGAAAAAATGGCTCACTTAAGTTTCTGAGGGTCTAGGGGAAACGTGAAAGCAGCTCCTTAACACACAAACAGAAAGACACGCCGCTACGTTGTGAAGCCGTTCCACTTTGCTGCTGGTGATCTGTGGTGTTCAATTACTTTTACTTTTCTTCCCAAGGTGCAAGGGTCTTTCCTGGTTAGTTTGGTTTTAGGTCAACCAGCTGGGTGTATAATGTGCAGCTGAAGAGATCTAACCATTACAGACTTGCTCTTTGCTAATCTTTTCTCCTTTGGTGCAAGTGCTGCCAGAAGAACAGTACTTCGTAAAACACAGGTGATACTTTTGTTTTAATCAAACCCAGTTTAAGCACAGGGTTTTGTTTCCTTGTTTTTTTGAACAAGAATTTATTATGTCATCCTAATCTCAGCTAACCTCGTCTCATGCCTCTTCTGCAGTCTGGTAACCGTAGTGGGTTAGAGGTTGATTTGACACCCAGAGACCATAAGCCAGAAGGTTATGCGGGTAGTAAAAAGATGAAGTCACTTGTGGTACGCTGCAGTGGGAACCCGCTTGCATTGCTTAATTCACAAAATGCACAGGACAGGCAATTTGGTCTAACTGCCTTTATGAGAGACCATAGCAAAGTAATTATGTAGCCAGTGGAGGTGGGGGGCAGACTTTGTAAACATTGGTGCTACTGCAAAAGGGAATACACAAACTAATTTTTTTTTTAAGACCACTTCCAACTTTACAGTTCCACAATTCAAAGTGAATATGCAGCACTCATCGGTGCAGTCTCTCAACAGCAGAACAGGATAATCAAGTCGGCTGTCTTTGGTAAAACAGAATACTTGAGGCCTTTGTGGCTTGAGGAAGTCCTGCAGGGTTCCTCGTCCTTTAATGCTTTCCACGTAGTAAGGATCATTCATCTTGGGACCAAATGAAAAAAGGTGGAAAGGGAGCATGGGAAGATGAGAGCCCTAAGCAGCATGCTAACTCATGTGCTTAACTTCAAGCAGTTGAGCAGTCTCAGTGAAGCTATGGAGAAACTCAAGTGCTTAGCGCAAAACAAGTGTATACATGTCTGTCGAATCGTGGCGTAACTCCTGTGTCTGAGTACTACATGCTATACTTTATTTTGTGGCAATTGAAAAGAGTTGTTTAAAAGCTGCTGATGCCTCATGGAAATTTTTTTCAACTGTTCACCTACTGTTGCTACTTATCCCCTCCTGGAGTTAGTGTCTTGTCTGACAACCCACTTGGCTGCTGTGGAAATAATTGTGATGTTGCAAACACAAAGTATAAACACGGGGAAAAGGTTGAGGAAGAAAATGCCCGTGGTCTCTCAAAGAAAAGTAGATCATGGTTTCATGAAAATTGCAATGCCTTTACTGAGAAAGAGAATTACAGGAAAAATAAGGCATAAATAAGCAAAAAATAGAAGCAATTATAGCTCTTGCGTTAGGAAAAGCAACTCTTTAAAGATGTTCCATATGTGAAAAGTTTTGCACTGGAAAACAGAGTTTTGTTCCTTTCTGTATATTCCCTGTAAAATACAAAGCACTGATATTTGGAGAAGACCCAACAACAAGCATTCACAGGCCAACAAATTGAAAAATTGTCTGCTTCAAGATTATCATAGCAAAGCCCATCAGCCCTTGCCTTGCTTTGCATTTTGATGTATCCCTTGGAAAGATGTGTTAATTCTGACCATACGAACACTGCATGAGCGAGAGACAACACCACGACAAAATACCCTCCACCAGAACAACTGACGATTCAGAAAGGTTCACCAAGACCTCCGGACTTCCAAGTCCCAAAGAGACAGTTCTGTTGTTGAAGATATTCTCAGGAAAAAGGCTAGGCATCTATTAAATATCAACACATTACTAAACAAAGCAAAATTCAGGAACTTGGCAGTTCCCATCCTCCCAGATCTGAGCCCAGTAAGCAACTCTGCTTTTGTTCCTTTTATTTGCTACTGCAGGTGGGTTCAGCCCCGCAGCCCGTGGCGTCGAGCCGGCCTGCGGGGGAGATGGAGCTCTGCGCTGGAGACCTGGCGGTGGAGGAGAGGGGGCCCCGAGAGGGGCACTGCCGCCACCGCTGCGCAGAGCCCCCAGGAGAGGCAGTAAGCTGTGCAGGCACCCCATGTGATGTGAAAACTTGTAAAGTCTGAGGGAGTGTGGAGTAAAACCCCTTCCACCTATGCACGCAACTTCCAAATGCATCCAAAAAGAAGCCAAGTTATAAAGGTAGCTTTGGGGTCTTGGAAGGATACTTGTGGCAGGAATAAAAATCAGCCGCTTAGCTGCATCAGGTTGATCCATGTGCAGTCTTACCAGCATGCTCTGTCTCTCCCCTTACATCCCAACACAGGATACGCTGTGCAAAATGAGTTTAAAACTGCGCTAGACATTCTCCCACCTGATGATGAAAGCAAGGAAAAAGAGCGGAAAGGCTCAACATGTTTGCTGGTTACCTGTTACATGAGCGGCCGGGATGAAGCAGAGCGCCAGGAGGATCCCCAGGAGCATGGTGCTGATGGTGGGCCCCGGGCCTTGTCCCCACCCCCTGCCAGCACTGCGGAGGCTCGTGGGGCCCCGCACCACCCGCTGCACCGCGAGGCCCGGCTGGACCCCCCGCTGC